CTGTATTTACGCTAAAAGTGCTCTATTTACGCTGAAAACGCTAAATCACAGTGTTGGTCCAAAATAGGACGCTCGTAGGCTTTTAGGAAAGCTACGTAAGAACACTCAAGCAGGAATTTAGGAAAGTACGAATATGGAAAGTTGCAAAGGGAATTTGGTAGCCAGAAATAGCATATACAAATTGATTCCTCTAATCTGAATTACAACACGCCTTTTATAGGCGTATACGAATCGTAACTGCTACCGATAATAATGACTAATTAATTACAACATTAATACAGAATTAAATACATAATTAATAGCGCATTAATTGCTTGACCGTTACTCTTCTGGGCTGGGAGGTCGGCCGGACTGGCAGGCTCCCCGCTGGGTTGACAGGCAGGCTCTAGGTTGTGGACTTGGATCCACGAGTCCAAGTTCGGGGCTTGGGCTAATTAGGCTTTGGGCCTAGTCCTATTACTCCATCACGAGTCCCACACTCCCTTAGTCGAGTAGTAGACTCGGCTAAGAGGGAGTAGTCCAAGTCAGTTGCTCTTCTCCGAGACTAGAAGATCCCCGCCCTTGTCCATGTTGGGGAGATGCCTCATTAAAACCATTCACTAGGAAAAAACCCAATGGGAAAAAATCCTAATGAAGGGGAAAAGAGTACACCTGATGCCCCCAAGATGAAGCAAGAGGTGAAATTTTCAGCCTTTTATTGCCATGGTTACCATCTGCGAAGAGGATGGCTAGAACCATTCTTCTCGTCGGGTTCGGACTCATCAAGCTCGTCTTCGTTCAGTCGTACCTACACATAAAAGTAACAAGTGTAGAATAGAGCATCTAGCCCGGTGTCGAACCATGGCTCAGTGTGTAAGTGAGTCGGACTCACCACTTGAAAAGAGTGACACCAAGTTCCCAAGTTAGGCCTCAACCCAGTCTCCGAAAGAAAGATTGAATCCGCGAGTAAGTGAGTCGGACTCCTCACTCGAACGGATAATCCAACCCCAAAGAAGTAAAGTATATCAACCTTTTTGAGAAATGTGAATGTCAATTAAGTGACAAAATTGCTCGGAAGAGCGTGGCTCTATGCCCCTAACAAGAGTTTAACTCGCCGTCCGAGGTTAGTAGTTCGAACCCGCAAGTAAAAACTTTTGAACGGGTGACTCATCCCCCGAGGTCGGAGTGTGATGCACTATGAAGGGGTAAGAGCACGCGAGAACTCGTATTTATGAAGTCAAGAGTGTGCGGTATTAACATGTATATTGGAGCTTATTAATCGTCACACCCATATGACGTGACCCGGTGACGCGAGTGTGTGTGCTCGACCAGTGTACGAGTGTGTGTGCTCGTCCGACGTACTTGAGTGATCAGATTTCATAAGTCTATTTTTCAATGTTAAAATTACACACACTTAACAAGAGTAAAAGCAATATATCACTTAAAATATCTTTTCAAATGTTTCGGTAATTAAATTATGATGGCTAATACGTAGTATGAAATTTGAGCACTTAACTCAAATAATATGCTGATGTAGTTCGGTGCTCAAGAACATGGGCTTTCTTGATCATTGTTTATTGGGCTCAAGTGTTATGAACAACACATAGCAGGGTCACAGGAAGCCCCACCCCTGCTTGGAGAGTGCCATCAGCCCAGGTTGCCGCCGGTGGTCTCTGGCTGGCTCACCTTCTGGCCATTACCACTGCTACTTGCTGCGAACCTCCTGTTTGGATGGTGCCCGCACACTAAAACGTGAAAGAAACCCAACCTTGGTCACATCAAGCGACGATGGAGGTGACGACCGCCGCCGCCACGACGGCGACTGCCCTAGCCGCTCAGAGAGAATGAAAGATCCGCGAATCTGGTCACTTACATCGGAGTTGGAAGACTTGGAGCTATGGGTCGCCACTGTGCAAGGTTGCTGCTAAACATTGAAGGTACTTCTGTTGCCAGAGAGGGGAGGAGGACCTCCCATCCGCCGTTGGCTTTGTTCGGATCTACCGGAGAGAAGGGGGAGTTGTTCGTCACAGAGGCTAAGAACAGTCGCAACATAAGAGTAATGGAAGTTGCCTGCCGCCGCTTCCATTAGAAAGACCTTCAGATACCTTGGACGGTCATCTCCTGGTATTCTTTGGATTTTCCAGGTTTGCAGGTCGCAAGTCGTGAAGATACCCTGGCCGGCCATCTCATGCTGCACTCTCGGCTCCATCTCCTGTTGCACTCTCGCCTGAAGACCTGAACATCAGCGTCGAGATGTGTTCGATGGCTGACGAGGCCGCAACTTTGGTCTTTCTGACGATGACAGCTACGGGATGTAGCAGCATCTTGGTGAGATCCAGAGCGGTCATATCTGGAACGGCAACAGTGGGACCAAGACGGCAATCCTTCAACAGCAGTGAGAGGTCCCGGGCCACGGTAGGCATGTCAGGGCGCGGTGGTGGTCAGGATAGTGACATCAGCTCCTGCTGAGTAGAGTCCCAAATTTGAAACCTCCGAGGCAACAGAGACGAGCTTCAGCTCACGGCGCCTGGCGGCTGCTCCGCGGCGGCGATCAATGGCGGATGGCGCCGACATCTCTACCGTTGATCTTGACAAATCCAATTTTTTCTTTCGTTTTTGCTGAATTGCAGACCTCAAAAACTGCTAGATCCTTCGATCTACCCATTTTTTCTGAATTGTTTTTGGTAATTCCTACTCCAGGGATGTGAGAGACGATAGAGACTCTCAATGAAAGCACCAATGTTGGTCCAAAATAGAACGCTCGTAGGCTTTTAGGAAAGCTACGTAAGAACACTCAAGCAGGAATTAGGAAAGTACGAATATGGAAAGTTGCAAAGGGAATTTGGTAGCCAGAAATTGCATATACAAATTGATTCCTCTAATCTGAATTACAACATGCCTTTTATAGGCGTATACGAATCGTAACCGCTACCGATAATAATGACTAATTAATTACAACATTAATACAGAATTAAATACATAATTAATAGCGCATTAATTGCTTGACCGTTACTCTTCCGGGCTGGGAGGTCGGCCGGATTGGCAGGCTCCCCGCTGGGTTGGCAGGTGGGCTCTAGGTTGTGGACTTGGATCCACGGGTCCAAGTTCGGGGCTTGGGCTGATTAGGCTCTGGGCCTAGTCCTATTACTCCATCACATAGAGATAAGACTAAGTATTTGTGACAGATTAACCATAAATTTACAAATGTTTCTGATTTCACTCTGAACTCGTGTAGAATTTGATCCGATCATATCTCAATAATTGTTTACCTTTCATAATTTTTTAAGGAAGGATCTTAACAGAGCTTAGTATGGGCTTGTTTAAGGATCTCGATAGTTGTTTTCCTTTCATACTTTTTTAAGGAAAGATCTTAACATGGCTTAGTATGGGAGAGAAGGTGTTAATTGCCAAACATTCCTTAACAGCTTAAGATATTAACTTGTCATTCCAATTACATATGCAGTAATACTCAGCTGAAACGTGACTTATTATGTCAAATTGTAAATAAAAGTAAAAGACAGTCGATGTCTAGTATTGATTTGTTGTTGAAAAAATCTGTTTGTAGTCATGGTCAACTTTACGTGACTGTATCAAGAGTAATTAATCGTCGAGCATTAAAAAATCACATTGCAAATGAGGATAAATGAACAAACATTTAGCATGAAATCTAATGTGCTTCAAATTATATTTATACCGCGTGTTACTTACTATTTTGTGGGCCTACAAGAATTTGTGTACTACTCTGTAATCATTGGTAAATCGTATTGAATATATTTCGTTTTATGTCAAACATTATTATTGTATGGAGTATAATTATAAATGATTCAATTAATATATCAAGTTTGTTTTTTTATTTTAAATTTGGCTAAAATAATTACACCTGTGAAGTTTCACAATTGTATGACTATTATATTAACAATTTGACATTCAATTTCTAATGAAAACTAGTTAATTTCATGGATGTCTAAAGTTACAAATTTCAGTATGAATGCTTGTAGATCAGTTGCAACTTATTAAATAATTTGTCGAGTTACTAAATAGTAGTATATAAACTTCATTTGAATTAGCTGCTAGTTTTTCCTTTGTAGGGTCTTTTTCCTCTTAGAATTGTTCTATAACTTCTATGTGGGTGGATATTAACGTCTCTTTGTTACCCATTTAGTCATATGAATAATTGTTTATATAAAAAATGGTGGACAAAAACATAATTTAGTAATTATTAGTGATTATAATGTGTTCAACGTTTACATCGTAGTGATTATATGGAGTCACAATGACGTATAGTTTGAACCCAATTATAGTTATGAACAGGGGGACGTACGTATGTGCTTAAGGGGGCCATGGCCCCTCCCACTTTTTAATTTTTTTTAAAATACTACTCCTTAAAATTGTTTTGGTCCCTCCCAAAAATTTATGAAGGCAATTTAGTACCAAGCCAAACGTATTCTTTTTATTTTAAATTTTATATTTTGAGTTTTATATTTTAAATTTTATATTTGAGAGATTTGTAATTTTAGTCTTGTAATTTTTGAGTGTTCTCATTATTAGTACTGTAACTTTACCCGCATGCTGGTTAGGTTCTCTAACTAATATGGATTACGGAGTAGGTCTTTGCAGTTTTAAGGATTTTTGCACCGGAAAGTACACTTTCCGGCAAAAAAATCGACATTGACGGCATATTTTGCGTTGAATTATCGATAAGAAAGTGTAGTTTCCTTTGGAAAAGTACTTAAGTTGCAAAAAATTGTTAATTGCATAACCAAATTTACGAGCAATTGAAGTATCTAGACTAAAAACGGGCACAAAGTAAATTTATTGGGCCAAAATTGCAAATCTTTTTTTACTCTTTAATACTTGTACTACATCCCCCCCTCAAGAGTGAAGTCTGGCTCAGCCCCATATTATGAATAGTTACTAAGTCACCTTTTTTTGTTTATGACTATTATTATTACTCCATACTATTTAAGGAAAAACCTCTTCTTATAATGCTCTAGTGGTTGAAAACTTGAAACTGTGAAAAAGTATCGTTGGAATTTATTTAATAAAAGAATGATATTGGAGGAATCACATGACTCTTTCTTTCGAAAGAAATTAGTAATGATTTTGAGACAAGTTAAAAAAAAGGTTGATTTATGGCTTGGCAGCGACCTCCGTTGGAGAATGGGCAGCAGGTATGTCATATGTGCAGCGGGTTACCCAAGGATGAACTTTGTATTTTTGTCATTACTTGTTGGAGCCTTTGGAAAGCTCAAAATGAAAAAACCTGGAGAAATAGTAGCTCGAATTGGAGTGGTGTTATAGCTTGTGGTGATGCGGTGAAGGCAGGATGGAGGAATGCACAGGAAACGGCGACGAAGACGTGCAATTGGATAGATAGACAGCCAGAAGAGATGGGAGAAGTCGAAATCGATGTTGATGCCGCTCTCCAAGCAAATGGTGACGGGCGTAGCATCGGGATGGTTGCTAGGGGCGACAGTGGGGAGTTCCTTAAAGCAAAAAGCATAGCATTGCAAGATCGATTTTCGCCAAGCACTATGGAGGCCATGGCGGTTGAAGAGGCGGTTAGGTGGGTGGTTGACTCGGGAATTCAGGATGTCAAAAGTTAATTATATCGTCCGATGCTCAGCAAATTGTTCAAGGTCTTGCCTGTGAGGAGGGGCTACATTACTATGATGTTATTTTTAAAAATATTAGACATATGATGGGGAATATTGCTAATGTAAATGTTCATTATGCGCACCAGACTGCGTAGGCAACACTTTTACTAAGGATGTCTGTTCTGGGTCTAATGGTATCTGGGATCTTCATTCCCTTGAATCCTTGATTGTATTGTTCATTAGTTGAGAATTGATGAGTAATAATAAAGTTATTTGATTTTGTTTGCAAAAAAGAAATTAAGTTTTTTGATTTTCAAAAACAAAAACTTCATTTATCAAGGACAAGTAGAATATATAAATGTCCTCCTCATACCATAATACCTAGAATTCCCTAGCAGACAATAGTAATACAATATATCTAGAGTTCAATCCATGACTTATCTGCAACCCTAAATCAACATGTTTTAACAGGTATATGTCAAAACAGAGTGATTAACACCAATACCAACCGAATACAGGATCAGTAAATTTAAAGAGGTGAATTTACGAATGAAAATAAATCTTAGAAACCACTTGCAAAATAAATTCAGCAGGATCGCAAAAAGCCAGGGGTAAGAGAATCTGATATTTTTACATCATCAACAAAGCATTTGGAACATTGGATTTGGACTCCCTCATCCAGATAAACCACCTCATCCTGACAACTAATTAGTTAGACAAAGCACTATCAAACAGATTTAAAACACAATGGGCTGCACTACATCAAACAAGCTAATATGGCCCACATAACTCAAATTTGACCTTAATTAGCATTGACAGGATCAGCAAAGCACTACCAGGCAGTTTTAAAAACATAATGTGCTGCTCTACATTAAACAAAGCTAAAATGGCCCACATAACTCAAATTTAAGCTTAATTGGCATTGATAGGATGAGCAAAGAGAGCATGTGAAAGCTACCCAGTATCCATTACACATTCTAGTGTGATCTCTTTAACATCGTCAATGTCATTTTGAGATGCTGGTGGGTTGGGTCCTTTACTATAAAGTATGTCCAGTTCACGGAAATATGAGCATGATTTGTAAGGCTTTGGGCTATTCCCCTCGGTCTTGGTCATCCTCTTATAGTACTTGTTTATATTTTTCCATTTCTCTTTGCACTTGCTTGGAGTCCGTGGGTAACCCATGGTGGCCATTCGAGCTGTTACCTCTTCCCATATGGATCCCTTAGGCCCATTCTTAAACTTGTCATCCAAGGATAACCTAACTGTTATCAGGGCCTGCACTTCTGATTTTGGCCATCTCCTATTGCTTGGATCTTGCTGTGTTTCTTGACCATGAAGAAGTTCATCTTTTTCTGTGAATGCTAATTGAGATGATGGAACTTGAATCTCTTCGCCCAACAGATTCTTAAGGAATGAAAGTAGGGTCAGGCTTCTTGAGATTTCTTGAGACCTTAATTCGGTCATCTTCTTTGCTCTTTCGATTTCTTGCTTCCTCCAATATTCTTCCCTCTGGATTCTCTCTTGTTCTTTTTTCTCCATCACTTCTATCAATTGTGCATGCATTTGATCCTGCCTGTTCATCACTTTCATCACCATGTCCTCTACAAACAAAGCAAACTTCTGTCTGGTGCTCTCTCCTCTTCTGCTGAAAGTTTCTTTTTCTACCACAGATGAGTCATTGCCATCGGAAGAAAAGCTGAAAATAAGTTTATAGTCCATGAAAGCGAACCATCAGCTCAAATGCATTAGATCGTGCACTACTAATATCAACTATTGGATCACTGCACAAAACGATTACTATTACTTTGGGATAGATCCAAGTGACCAATAAATTATTTACAAAATTTACCACACTTGACTACTCTTCAACTCTTGAAAACAAGCATTAACTACCAACAATGTGACCAATTCTCCTTCATCTTTCAAAAGGTAATAGCCTACCTAATAGGTACACTATCTAGATGCACGGCAAAACGGTAAATTGTGTAGTTTCAGTAAGAAAATGAGCACAGACCCCTATAAAATAATCCGTCTTACTACTAATACTTCACATAAAAATCTCTCACATTTTATCACATTTACAAATGACCTCATGAAACCAAGCACCAATTACACCAGTGGTACAAAGTACAAACCACAAGTTTATGTACAAAAGGTGCCACTCAATGCTGCAAACATTATATGGAATGTTTAGAAATGATTTTGGGAGACCAAATGTGCTTCTCCAAAGAGAACTGAATAGTTAGAACTATAACACTCTTTTAGGGTGTTAGAATTGCATATGATAATCAATAAATCACTTCTTTGAGTCCGCAAACAAGAGATTTAGTGTAGTGAAGGAGTTGTTTCTCCGAATGCTGAACCAGCATGGTGCTAAAAGTTTTAAAAAGTTGTAGAATGTGCTAAAAAGAGAACTCTATGACATTTTAAAGCATGATTGGTATGAGTTTTGAGACTTCTTGGAATGTCATTCATTCATTTAGTCATGGGCTGTCTTTTGCCATTTTTTGTGCTCACTTTAACTCTTTTTACCAGATTTTGGGCTTAAATTTTGCCACCTGTGCTGGAAATGATCAAATGTGCAATATTTGACTGTTTTTTAGTGTGAAGTAGTCTCTTTGAATAACAATTCGTAAGAGCCCATCTTAAAGCATGGTGCTAAAAAGAGAACTCTATGACATTTTAAAGCATGATGGGTATGAGTTTTGAGACTTCTTGGAATGTCATTCATTCATTTAGTCATGGGCTGTCTTTTGCCATTTTTTGTGCTCACTTTAACTCTTTTTACCAGATTTTGGGCTTAAATTTTGCCACCTGTGCTGGAAATGATCAAATGTGCAATATGTGACTGTTTTTTAGTGTGAAGTAGTCTCTTTGAATAACAATTCGTAAGAGCCCATCTTTTGTGCTTTCCAAAGAGTGGACAGTGCTTCACTAGTTTTGAATGTTAGTGTGGATTCAAAAAAATAATTACTTTGTTGGATAAACTACTGTTAGCTAATGACAAACACAAGTTGGTAATGATCATACTGCTGAACAGTAATGGCTTCAAACTTAGGTTCAAATGTCATATAATGTTCATCTGCATTTTACTGTAGAATGTATGGAACAATGATAATCATGGCAGTACGAAATCACTATTAGCAATAATACTAGACCCGAACAAATACAGAAATGCATTATGAGCTAAAGTGTTTGTGTATAATGGTAATTCTTGACTGGAGTAGAGCTCATAGTACCTAACAATCTACCATCATCGCACCTTGTGGGGGAAAGGAAGAGAGAAGCTACATATCGTAAGGGGTCGTAGCAAGACAGGTAACATTTCACGGAAGTCAAGTAATACAATACAACAACAACATCCGAGCCTTAGTCCCAAAAGATATTGGGGTCGGCTAACATGAATCGATACATGATATCACAACCAAAAGGAAAAGAAGGAATAAAGATAAAAAGATAAGCTATTATGAAAAGATAATATAAAAAAAGATGAATATATATATATATAAATGATAAAATAAAAAGGCTGCAAATATTGCTTATATATATAAGGAAAAAAAACTAGGAAAAAAAAAGATGAGGGAAAAAGATTATCAAGATCACTCCTTCACGTGAATACCCGTCCTCCACTTAGTTCTCTCCAAAGTCATGTCCCCATCCAACCCCAAAAGAAGCATATCACTTCGAACTCCCCTAACCCACGTTTGTTTGGGTCTTCTCTGCCTCTCCCTCTCTTCCCTGCCTCTTCTCCACACATTTCAACTCGCCTAACAGGTGCATCACTCGGTCTTCTACGCACATGACCAAACCACCGTAGGCGCGACTCCCGCATCTTGTCTTCAATAGGTGCTACTCCCACCCTTTGTCTGATTGTCTCATTCCTCACGCGGTCCTTCCTAATATGCCCACACATCCAACGCAGCATGCGCATCTCTGTCACACTCATCTTATGAATGTGACATTGTTTCACCGCCCAACACTCTACGCCATACAGTAATGCAGGCCTAATTGTTGTCCTATAAAATTTACCCTTCAGTCTAGTCGGCATACCTCGGTCGCATAGAAATCCTGATGCACTCTTCCACTTCATCCACCCTGTTCTGATTCTATGGGATACATCTCCATCTAACTCACCATCCTTCTGAATTATGGAGCCCAAATAACGGAACATATCGTTGACTGGTATCTCCTTACCATCCAGAGTAATTCCGCTATTACCACTACTTCTACCTCCACCAAACTTGCACTCCATGTACTCTGTCTTGCTTCGACTTAGTTTGAAACCCTTATTCTTCAATGTTTGTCGCCATACTTCCAACTTTGCTTTAAGACCTGATTGCGTCTCATCAATCAATACAATATCGTCGGCAAACATCATGCACCACGGTATATCGTCTTGAATTGACTTCGTAAGTTCATCCATGACTATGGCAAATAAGAAAGCACTCAAGGCCGATCCTTGGTGCACTCCGATAGTAATAGGGAACTCTTCAGTCCTCCCTACACTAGTACGAACACTTGTAGTACAATCCTCATACATATCCATGATGATGCTGATATACTTGCGTGATATGCCTTTCCTAGTTAAGGCCCACCAAAGAACTTCTCGAGGTACCCTATCATATGCCTTTTCTATGTCAATGAACACCAAATGCAGATCCTTATGAGCATCTCTATACTTCTCCATAAGTTGCCGAAGAAGGTGAATGGCCTCAGTTGTTGAGCGACCAGGCATAAAACCGAATTGATTCTCTGAAATCTTCACAGTCCTTCGAAGTCTTTGCTCAATCACTCGCTCCCAAAGTTTCATGGTGTGACTCATAAGCTTAATCCCTCGATAGTTGGCACATTCTTGTACATCACCTTTATTCTTAAATAAGGGGATAAGAGTACTCTTCCTCCAACTCGTTGGCATCTTGTTGTTTCTCCAAATCATGTTGAAGAAACTTGTTAACCACTCGACGCCTCTCTCTCCGAAACTTCTCCTAGCCTCGATCGGTATGCCATCTGGCCCCATTGCTCTTTTCCGTCTCATCTTCCTCAGAGCTTCTTTAACTTCCGTTGTTTGGATCCTTCTCACAAAATCACGGTTTACCATACAATCTGGTATGGACAAATCGCCGATATCTTGCGTTTTGTTCCCGTTGAATAGTGTATCAAAGTATGACCTCCACCTCTCTTTTATCTCTCCGTCGTCCATTAATATCCTCTGATCAACATCCTTCACACACTTAACTTTTGCAATATCTTGAGTTCTGCGATCACGAAGACGAGCAAGTCTATAAATATTTAGTTCTCCTTCCTTAGAGTCCAACTTTTCATACAACTCCTTGTTCACTTTCTCTCGTGCTTCCCTTACGGCTTTCTTTGCTTGTCTTTTAGCCTCCCTGTATGCTTCTATGTTCTCATCACTCCAATTTGTCCCCAACTTTTTGTAGCAATCTCTTTTGTTCCTTATGGCTTGTTTCACCTCATCATTCCACCAAGATGCGTCCTTTTTAGGTGGCCGACATCCTTTAGATTCTCCAAGTACCTCCTTTGCCACTTTGTTAATGGTCAACTCCATTGATAACCACACATCATCCACATGTGTTTCATTATCAATACGCCACACATCTTCACCGACCATTTTGTGTAAAGCTTTGTTGAAGATCTCCCTCAAGCCTCCACCACTTTATGTTTGGCTCCACTTGTTGTTTAACTTGTCTTCTATGGTTCTTACCTCGAAAGTCAAGCACAAGCATCCTATGCTGAGTGACAACACTCTCACCCGGAATAACCTTACAATCAGTGTAGCTAGTTCTCCAAGTGGTCCGTACTAAGAAGTAGTCAATTTGGGTACTATTAACTCCACTTTTATAGGTTACAAGGTGAGAGTCTCTTTTCTTAAACCAAGTGTTCATTATAGCCAACTCATACGTCAAGGCAAAATCCAAAATGTTCTTTCCCGCCTCATTCCTAGTGTCAAAACCATGTCCGCCATGAATATTCTCAAAGCCATCACGACTCGAGCCCACATGCCCGTTGAGGTCACCTCCTATGATCAACTTCTCACCCCTTGGCACTCATCGCACCACGTCTTCAAGATCTTCCCAGAACTGTTGAGTTGTAGATGCATCCAATCCCACTTGTGGTGCATAGGCACTTACCACAAACACAATCTCACCTCTTATCACCAATTTTATGCTCATGATGCGATCGTTCTTCCTGAAGACTTCTAACACATCCTCAACATAGTCACGCGCCACAATAATGTCTACCCCATTTCTAGTCTTATCTCTCCCCGAATACCACAACTTAAAACCTCCGGGATTAATCTCGCGTGCTTTCTCTCCAACCCATTTAGTTTCTTGCACACACATAATGCTGATATTCCTTCTGCTCATTACCTCGACTACCTCGGAAGATTTGCCTGTAAGAGACCCAACATTCCATGTCCCAAAACGCAATCTAGCATTCCACCTTCTGTTCTTAGCCCCATCTCGGACCCCACCATGCCCTTGCATATTTGACATCATCCCCGGGCAATGGGATGACGCGCCGCTTCTGGGCGGCGACCTAGCAACCTTAGCATTCTTATCACCACACCCAGGTCTATCAAGTGTAGCGCGCCCTTGCATATTTGACACCACCCCCAGGCGGAGGGATGACGCGTCACTTACGGGTGACGACCTAGCATTAGCGATATTCATATTTCGATTCATGTCATGTGATGTGACTAGGTGATACTGTTGGCCGTCACACGCCTACCACATCACCCTCTTCCTTTATCCTGGCTTGGGACAGGCATGATACCAAAAAAATGATATCATGGCGGAGTTTACGTAAAATTTACAGACCCACCAATTCACTGCAATTAGCTCCCGTCTTAACACAACAAGAATCAAATTCCCCTTGATGTCATAGCAAATTCTTGTCCTAATACAAAGTCGTAACTCCTTTACGTTTTCCCTCAACATAAAAGAGTAGCTTTTCTATTAGCAAACTCCTCCTTTATGAGTTTACGTAGCTCCTTTTTGTGATAAGGCAGACTATTATATACTTCATCCAAAAAAAGAGTTACTTTTAGTCAACTCCATGAAGGTACAAGCTTTTATGTTGGCAAAAAATACTCATAAAACTTATTTCCAAGAACATCTGAAGTAATGGACTTAAATTGTAGGATGCTTAGCTTTTTTATACTTTACTCTAAAATCAGATTCTTTTATCTTTTTCTTTCTTATACTCTTTATCTTTTAAACTTTTTTATCTTTTTATCTAATCATTTTTATCTTTTATCTTATCTTATCTTTTTATCCCTTCATAGCTTCGATTTCATGTTAGCCAATCCCAAAATCTTTTGGGAATCAGGCTTGGGTGTTGTTGGATGTTGTTGTATAGCTTCGATGTCATATGTTGATTCATGTTAGCCGACTCCAATTTTTTTCGGGATCAAGGCTTGGATGTTGGTATCATTGTTGTTGCTATAGTCTAAAAGCACTCATTTTTGGTACAAAAAGAATCTTGAAACAAACTTCATTTTTTTGAAGAGTGTTTATATTCACTGTTAGACTTGAAGACCTCCTCATTTGGAGGTAGTTTTAGATTTTACATTATAAAAACGTTAAACCATATAAAATAATCTTTTTTGTATGGTACGTAAGAATTTTCATATACTATCTACTTTTTTATGAAGATACAAAGACATAACGGGAAACTATGTCATACTTAAGGAAATATAGCACAATTTCCTTATGAAATCGAGTGGCATTTTTGTAATTTTCTCAATGGTTGCTCATTTTCTATATAGGTCTGCTAGTGTTCTTTTGTGTCCTTGCAAATGATAGCACAAATTTTGCTCTAAAGATGACACCCTATACAAACGACATAAGTCTCATAACACCAACAAGAGAGATGACAATGCCATTCAAAGATTCCCCCTTTCTCAATGCTCCTTTACCTTATCCTTTTTATTTTTATCTCATCTTATCTTATCTTTTTATCCATTTATAGCTTCGATTTCAAATGTCGATTCATGTTAGCCGACCCCAAAAGTTTTTCGGGATTAAGGCTCGGATGTTGTTATTGTTATTATTGCTATAGTCTAAAAGCACTCATTTTTTGTACAAAAAAGTTCTTGAAACAAAATTCATTTTTTAAGAGTGTTTATATTCAGTGATAGCCTTGAAGACCTCCTCATTTGGAGGTGTTTTTACATTTTACATTCTAAAAATGTTAAATCACAAACATAATCTTTTTTTGTATGGTACGTAATAATTTTCATATACTCTATTACAAAGTACAAACACATAACGGATAATTATGTCATGGCGTCATGCCTAAGGAAATTGGGCATAATTTCCTTATGAAATCCAGTGGCATTTTTGTAATTCTCTTAATGGTTGCTCATTTTCTATATAGGTCTGCTAGTATTCTTTTGCGTCCTTACAAATGATACCACAAATTTTTTTGCTCTAAAGATGAGCTAGAAATCTAGAATGCTAGATGTATGATTACTGTGTCCATGCGAATACACCCGACCAAATATACCCTATGCAGACGACATAACATCAACAAAAGAGAGGACAATGCCATTCAAAGATTCCCCCTTTCCCAATGCTCCTTTATCTAAAAGCCTAGAAAGATCAGTTTATTTTTGTAGTTTAAAATTAAGTTTTTTTCAGGGGTTTTTAAATTAAGTTATTCATTCATTTCATACTGAACGTAAGAATAAATATTAGACATTTCATAGAAAGAATAAAATTAATGCATGTAATAAAATTACTTAAAATGCCAAAGATAATTTGTATAAATATTCCGTCAAAAGGCATAAACAATTAAAATACAATATACATGAATAAATTACCTTAACTCGGCCTCCATAACTCGCGCTTGCGATATGATATTCGTAAATTGAGCATCGATCTCAGACTTTAATTGCATCTCTATAGGAATATCTGTATCCGAATAGCCTATGCCACTTCCTGGCATCACAACGGCTGGACGTTCACTTGTTTTCTCCCCTTCGTTGATTGGCGTCTGAACAATAAGCCCTAAATCTCCGGCATTATAGCTAAGCCGAGCGTCTTCATCAGCACAGATTTTGTCCGGGAAAATCGTTGTGTTGCGGCCGGGTCTGGACCGCACGGAACGGCGCCTTTTGCAGGGAGCAAAAATTGGGGTAGAAGTCGTTGCATTGACGAAGAGCTCAACCGTGGGTTCGGGGAAAGGGGAGAAATGATCTGGCAGAGAAACGACGCCGTCCGGTAACCGGCCGTCGGCAGTTAAGAATTCCATTTCAGAGATTCGCGGAAGAAGAAGATGGTAACGGGAGTAAAAGTAGGTAAAAAGAATGGGAACATTTTGTAAAATTAGAGTAGTAAAAGGGTTGCGCTGCAAAACTAGGGTGTTTTGGCACTACCTCAGGGTGGGGGCTGGAGGGGTAAGATTTATGAATTTATTTATGCGAAGTCCCAACTAAAAACAATGGAGGATAGTCTGGTAAATCACTATAGATGGTGACGAGGGCTGGACAAAATGGTTCGATTTAACCGAATCGAACCGAATCAAATCGAAAATTGGTGATTTGGTTTGTTTGGGTTTACTTAAGTAAATTGTTTGGTAAGGATCTGCCCAAATCGGATGATATGGTTTGAAGCCCGTTTGGTAGCACGAAAATCGACTGTTTTGGCTGATTCTGCTGAAATTTATGAAGTTCTGGCTGAAGTGGCTGTTTTGGCTGATTCTGCTGATTCAAGAAAAAAAAATTAAAAAAATATTTTATTAATAAATTAAAGAAAAAATTATATGTAAAAATAGCTAAAATGGTCCTCTGCAGTAACTTCAGCCAATACAGCCAGAAAAGTAACTCCAACCTTACTTTTTCTGCTTATTACACAATTCAACACACGAAAGTAAAAGTTACGTGTTTGGTGAAAAAGCTGGCTGATAAGCCTGATAAGCCGAAAAAAGAGGTCTCCAAACGGGCTCTTGATTTAAAATTGAAAAATCGTAAACCGAACCGAACACCGAACTACTTGTAATATATATATATATATATATATATATATATATATATATATATATATATATATATATATATATATATATATATATATATATAATATCAGGTGAGAAGTCCTCCTTAAAATGAGAAGTGAGAAGTACTCTCAGCCCTTGAATTTGCATATAATCTTACAACGCAATAAACTTAGAGACTGAATTTAGGAACTCCTAACCAATAAATCATAACTTATAAAGCTCTACATTATAATTACGGAAATGCCACCGCGTCAAAAAAAAATTGAAGGTCTCTGGAGTTATTTTTTGCGGTGGCATTTTCATAATTATTTTCGAGGGAGATTATAAGTTATGACTTATTAGTTAAAAGTTAGTGTTTTAGTCTATAAGTTAAACTTCGCAGTTCTCAACCTAAGGGCACTTCTCTCCTGATTCACTTCCTAACAGAGGCAGGTGTCTTGACCCCGGGAGCAGCGGCTGACGCACGTCTCGCAGGACTTCGGCCGAGCAGCAAACAGGAGGCAAGCACATGGGGACGAACGTCCCCAGAAGGCCCAAGACAACGGGATACCCTTCCGATTATCCAGGGGACGCGCGTATCCTACTGTAGGCATGTACCTTGGCCCAGGAGCAGAACAAGACGCATGCCTCGTGTTTGTCCCAATTTCATCCAACAATCATACAAACAATATATCCAGTAGAGAAGAAACGATGATCCGATTCAATACCAAACAAAGATTTCGAAATACAGCTTAGGGTATGAACGACTCTCTCTCTCTCTCTCTCTCTCTCTCTCTCGGAATGATATGCATGAATATGATTAAGGCTTATGTGAGACTTAGGGTTTGCTTAAGTTAGCATCCTTTTATACACAAGGATGTCTAACTTAAGCCTTACAAGAGAGTTAATGGGATGAAATACATTTGTGGCCCTTATTACACATTTAATTAATAACTAGACAAATACAAAGATATTTAATTAGATTGGACACCATAAAATATTCCCAATAATCTCCCCTTGGTGTTCAATCGTGTTCAATCAGTATTGCAGCGCGGATATCTTTGTCTTTGTGTTTATTCAGCAATGTAGAGGAGAGTGTAGATAAAATCTGTTGAGTTGCTCCTCTTTTGTCTTGATCTTCAGTGCAACTCAGTTTCCTTCGTCTTCGTGTTGAACTCGACTTCTTATGAAAGCTTTCTGAAGAAATCCTTGCAATATCCCCTTTGATGTCTTCTTGGCAATTTGATCTTTGATGTCGGGGTTGAGGAATCTTGAAAATCTTGCTTGTAATCCTTGCCTTCGAGAAGTTACTCATGATCAGATCGACTGCAAATCCGAAGGCGCCTCTAGAATATATGTTCTTGAAGAATTGCAGACGCACATGGGATTCGATTACCTGACCTCTGTCTCCTCTACAATGTAGTCTTTTTGACTATTTGAGGTGAATGCTTTTGAGGAGAACTTGTCGGTGGCACAGCGGAAAATGACGGTTGATGTAACACCCCGGCCCTCCAGGCCCCGAGGTAGTTACTCCAACACACCTTTCAAACCTCTAGTACTGTCCTCACAAACCGCCACTAGCCTTTTCCGCGCACTTTGTCCTCACTCATGCGCGCCCTAAGAAACTTTCGAGGGGGTCACCCATCCCAAGACTACTCTCGTGCAAACACGCTTAACTTTGGAGTTCTTGGCTAATGAGCTCCCTTAAAAGGAGATGCACCTTGTTGGTATGAATAGTACTATTGATCCTCTTAAATAAATCTCGGGTATTACAATCACCCCCACTCAGGATCGCAACGTCCTCGTTGCGCCCTTAACAATCTCAATTAAACCCTAGAATCTTGCCCCGCTAAGTGCCCGCCCGATATCCAACGGGTCAACACATTGTCGCAGGGTTGCTCTGATACCACATGTAACACCCCGACCCTCCAGGCCCCGAGGTAGTTACTCCAACACAGCTTCCAGACCTCTAGTAATGTCCTCACAAACCGCCACTAGCTAGCCTTTTCCGCGCACTTTGTCCTCACTCATGCGCGCCCTGAGAAACTTCCCAGGGGGTCACCCATCCCAAGACTACTCCCGTGCAAGCACGCTTAACTTTGGAGTTCTTGGCTAATGAGCTCCCTTAAAAGGAGATGCACCTTGTTGGTATGAGTAGTACTATTAATCCTCTTAAATAAATCTTGGGTATTACAGTTGACTTGTGAACGTAGCAGACCATTTGATGTGAAGCTGACTTGGTAGTCTTGATGCTTTGAGAGGGTAGAGAGCTGTCGTTGATTTTTGTGGTGGAGGAAGGAAGTGTCCGAAAATGATTTTAGGGTAAACAGCATGCGGACCACTCTCCCCCTCATGACGATCCGATGAATCGGGGCGTCATGCCTTTATTCTTTTATTCTGGATAACAAAATAGAAAAACAAAAAGAAAGGTTAAATGATAAAGATCGGATACACTGAGGTGTTCCGTTAACACAACATCAATGTAAACACTAATGTGTGGCCTGTACAAATGATAGAAGCATTAAATCTCTAACATGACTTCCAACCAGGCATTGTGAGGCATCTAAAGTAGATGTCACTCTGGTTGTTATGGCATGATCATAAAGATCAGCAAAGAAAACATAGCCCCTTGGGGGCGTGTAGACGCCCGTTATCATCACTATAGAGATAAACTCTAAAGCGATGGCCTGAACATGTTGGTGATTTCTATGTTGCAACAGCAGGACTTCCTTCCAATCATTAGTCTTCATCTATAGTACATGAGCCCGATGGAAGTTCTCGCGAGTCATGAAGACCTAAAACTGACTCTAAAAGGTGTCTGTATCCTAGAAAATTCAAAACATTTGGGAGTGAGATAACTAGACACAACGTGATCAATGAATGTTCAGTGACGTGGGGTTGTGGGCCACTGTAGTCAGTATCAGTCGCCTCAGAAGGAGACAGTGATAAGAGATGAGATTCCCCGTGAAATATGATTAAACACATGTCTGTTGGGAGACAAGTGAGTGGTCTTGGGTAGGGTTGTGCATGCGCCGTTTGGACAAAATGCGGCGACTTCTACCCGGGATCTGAATAAATTCAGTCCTGAACCTATGGGGATTGTCCAGAGTATTTGAGTGACTGGGAGTAATTTTCTCGATTGGTAGCATGAAAGAGGTAGCAGATTTGACAATGATTATTGTTCTCTTGCTCACTTGATCTTTCTGCTTCCTCACTCTCATAGTGTTCAGTCACTTACTCACTCACTCTCAACTTTGTCCCTTGGGTAGGCTTAGTTGGGTTTACTAAGCCATTGGGACTTATCTCTCATTTCTCTTTGCTCTTTTCTCTGCGTGCTCCCCCTCAACTGGAGCATTAAGTAGGATGCATTCAACAATGTTTGGCGCTTAGGAGGAGATCTTTGAAAACTCCCCCTCAAAATCTGCATCCTTGAGAGAATCCTTGCATGGTAAATTGTCTGGCACCAGGAGGAGAAAAATGAAACCCCCCTCAAAGGTTGCAAGTTGTGTTGTTTGATACCTGGGGAGTAAAGTAGAGGACTCCCCCTTGGAATGTGCTTTCTTCGTTGTTTGGCACCAGGATGTAGTGAAAAAAGAACACCCCCCCTCAGAATAAGCGCTTATTGATTGTTCTTGGCATGTATTGGTGATGGGGTGTGCATTTGATGATTTTCAGCTTGGTAGGGAGTATTGTAACACCCATTTAGTACTATCCTCACAAACTGCCATTAGCCTTTTCCACGCACTTTGTCCTCACTCGTGCACGCCCTGAGAAACCCATCCCAAGACTACTCCCGTGCAAGCACGCTTAACTTTGGAGTTCTTGGCTAATGAGCTCCCTTAAAAGGAGATGCACCTTGTTGGTATGAGTAGTACTATTAATCCATTTAAATTAAATCTCAAGTGTTACAATCACCCCCAGTTAGGAACGCAACGTCAACGTTGTGCCCATAAACCAATCTCAAATCTCAATCAAATCCCAGAATCTTCCTCCGCTAAGTGCCCGCCCGATATTCAACGGGTCAACACAGTGTCGCAGGGTTGCTCTGATACCATTTGAAACACCCTGGTCCTGCAAGCCCCAAGGTAGTTAGTTCTGACCTCTAGTACTGTCCTCACAAACCGCCACTAGCCTTTTCCGCGCACTTTGTCCTCACTCGTGCACGCCCTAAGAAACTTCCCAAGGGGTCACCCATCCCAAGACTACTCCCGTGCAAGCATGCTTCACTTTGGAGTTCTTGGTTAATGAGCTCCCTTAAAAAGAGATGCATCTTGTTGGTATGAGTAGTACCATTAATCCATTTAAATTAAATTTCAAGTGTTACAAGTATACACGTCAATACTCTCCTTGATAATGTGATGGTCCCAGATAGAGGTAAAAGTCTA